GGACACGCCCGGTGCGTGGAGGGCGCCGCGGCGGGGTGCCACCCATTTTCTTTAACTTGCCGCATGACCTTTTGAACACTGAAATGGTGATGAGGCTTGAAGTTTTCTCCATCCCATCCTTTCCCAAAGTTTCCGGGATGGAGGTGATTTCGTTTAGGTGGTACATAAAAGTGATCTGAGTTCCACTGAGCAGCCCCTTCCTTTATGCAAGCTTGGGACAAAGTCTCATTGGGCATCAGCTTTGACGTCTGCCTCCCACTGGCTCCTTTCCCTCCAGCTCAGAGCTTCGCAGACAGGAGGCTTTCCCTAGGATCTGAGAAATTAAACTTGACTCTCAAATTAAGGGGACTGCAAACTTTTCTGTGTATTCATGATTAGGGTCCCCTTTATTTATCTCACAAGTTTTCCATGAATAGCAGTAGTATGAAGTTTCCTTCTAAAATAAATTTTAAGTTAAGAAGGAGTTCATTTAAAGGAGGAAACCACTCAGCAACTAATAGCACCAGCAGGATTCGGATTTGGCCAAGATTGTGGGAGTGGCACCCAAGTGACTTCAACTTACAAACAATGGGTTTCGTCTCCCCAGTTTGCTGTTCACTTGAAGGCGGTAGGTCCTGCTGGTTCGCGGCTGCTGGAAATGACTGAAGACCAATTATTAGAAAACCGAGGTGATCATTTTGCGAGAGATCCTTGGTCAGGCAGTGCCTCAGAGCAGGTGTGTTGCTCAGCCTTCTGGTATAATTTGCATCTCTCTCTGCTAATTCATACTACTGAAAGATACACAGCCTTTTAAGAGTGATTGGTAGCAATTATTTTGAAATTTTTTGAGGCTGATACTAGCATAGCCAAGCTCTTGGCCAGTGGCTTTCTCAATTATCTATTCATCCTGGCGACTGAGGGGAAGGAAAAAAAAAACGCACAACCTAAAAGCTGAGAATTATGTTTTATTTGGCGGACATTCTCAGGACTTCAAGCCCGAGAGGCAGCCCTCAGGTCGCTCTAGGAGACCGCTCCACAGACGTAAAGGAGGAGCTGGGAAACAGGAGTTTTCACAACAAAGACCAGGCAGTCGGAACATCAAAAGATTGCTGTTAGTTAAAAAAAACAAAACCTGATATTGCAAGTTAAGGAATTCAGTGGCTTTTCTGTGCATGGGAAGAGGCAGGAGTCTGGGCTCATTGGAGTCTTCCTTTGATGCACTTAGCTCTCCAGGGCCCGCACCCTGCTCGTTCCCACCCTGAGCCTCCCCAGGGTGCACCATTGCGGGTGGCTGCAGTGTCCTTTGCTTACTGATCTGGCAGGCAGTATTTTTTCATTCACAATTCATTGACTTATTTTACTTTTTTAAAACATAAAGCAGTGCAGCCCACTGTTCACAGGAAATCAGACACGAAGTTCACTCTGTGAGCCGGGTGGAAGGGGTCCCTGGAGCAGGGGCGCGGTCCCGGGGCTGTGCTCTGCCTGCCTCCGGTCCCATTCATCCACGTGCTCGGCCACAGTTGCTGGGCACTCGCGATCTCAAGCTCTGATCCAGGACCTGGGGACACGCCTGCGCACCCGACCAGAGGTGGGCAAACTTTTCCTCTAAAGGGCTAAATGTTTCAGGTGTTGAAGGTCATATATATGGTCTCTGTTCTGCCCTTGTCGCAGGAGGGCAGCCGTAGGTAATGAATGAATGGCCTGGCTGCTCCAACAGAACCTTATTTACAGAACCAGGTGGAGGGACCGACGTGTCCCATGGACGTAGCGGGCAGGCCCCTACCCTAGATGTGATGCCTGCTTCTCAGGACCCCAGCCTGGCGGGAGACCTGTGAGGGGGTGCTTAATGCCAGTCTTGTCATCCATGTGGAGGAAGAGGCACAGGTGACGGGAGAAGGTGTCTGTGGGGCAGGGGCGGCCCGGGTCCAGCAGCCTGGCCGGGCCTGGCTCCTTGTCGAGGGCTGTGCCTCTGGCCTTCCCGCCCCAGCTGATGGCCAAAGCCTGCGGGGAAACGCTGCACCTGGCGTTGTCTAAGCCCCCTGGGGTCTGCCTGAGGGCCGTCAGGAGTGGTCTGCGCACACTCAGTGACTGCCGGGGGAGGGGCACCAGCTTCTAACGGGACTGCTCTGATGTCATCTGCCTCGGATATCGGACGTCTGTGTAAACTTTTATCCGTGGCTTTAAAACCCTGAAAGCCACATCTCAAGATCTTCCAGTATGATTTCTGGAATCAGCTCTCAACACACGTCCCTCTGCTTTAGCCCCCGACACGTGGGCCTGTTTCTCTGTCTCAAAGTTAGGAAGACCAGGGCTTTTCCTGAACAGCCGATCTGTGCTTACCTCTTCATGGCGCAGATCCTGCCTCTGGGCATGTTTCCTCCGTACTCTGGCCACTTAGAAGCTCCGAGCCAAGGTCCGGTCGCCCTCTGATGGTCCGTGCCTCCGCGTATTCTTCTGGCCGGGAGCGTTGCTATTCTAAAATCCATAATTTCCTTGTTTTGGACTTGCTCGGTCATTCACATTTGTCTTTTTTACATTGATACATTTATGCATTCTCTTGATTCACTGTTCTAGGCTCTGAGATAGAGGGGTGTCCAAAGACAGCTCAGGGCTCTGCCCTTGGTGTCTTTCAGGATAATGAAAAAGTCAAGCATTAGTCACCTTATCTGACAGTTAAATGTGCACTTGCCAACTGGGATGGAGTGCTGGGAAGGGGAGACCCATGGTACCATGAGACCACATACTAGTGGGATTTAACCTCCAAGGGAGGTCTGGCGATGCTTGCCTGAGGAAGATGTGTTTCAGCCAAGCCTAGGGGATGAGAGAAGAGAGGACAGCTGGAGGAAGAGGGGAGGTGGAGTATGTGCAAAGGCCCTGTGGCCAGAGGGAGCACACTGCAGAGCAGGGTGATCGAGGCCTGAGTGAGGCTGGAGAGGTCAAGGGGACAGGTCCTCACCCTGAAAACAACCAGGGGCAATGCAAGGGCTTCAATCTGGACAGTGATGTGGTCACATCACCAGCCGAAGAACATCATTCTGACTGGAGCAGGCGAGGAGGAGGAGGAATGGAGATGGGTGGGCAGAAAGGAGGTTCTTACCACATGCAGCAGAGAAGCAAGGCAGCTTGGCCTCATGGAGGCAGCAGAGAGGGGAACGTGGACACATCTGAGAGCACTGAGGGGGAAATACTAATGGACTTGGAGGTGACTGGTCAGGGGATGCCTGGGGTCCAGCTTGTGCATGTGAAAGGCCATTCTCTGAGATGGGTATTCCCAGCAGAGGCCATGGGCTTGGGCTGGACATGTGGAGTCCACTTTGGGGACCACGGGGGTTGAAGGATGTTCAGGAGGCAGTTGTATCCAAGAGTCTGATGTTCCAGGAGTTTGAGGCTGGTCCAATTCAGTGAGTCTCCAGCCTGTAAGGGGAAATAACAAGCTGGAGCAATGCCGAGGGCAGACATCAGAACCATTGGCCCAGAATGGGAGGGGGTCTGCTTGTCAGCTCTTGTAGGAAGTTTCAATGAGCCTGCATCACATCACATGTAGAGGTGGGAAGTGCCATGTGTCGGTGCAGAGTAACTGTGTCAGATGTGGTTCCCGTCAGTGGCTGCCCTGCCCTTCCCTCCTTCCTTCCCACCTTCCCTCTTCCCTTCCTTCCAGTAGGAGATGAGGTCAACCAGGGAGACTGAGGGGAAGGAGGGCACAGAAGAGGGTTACATGGGAGAAGTTTGAAATGTCCATTATCAAGAACGGAGAGTGGCTGAGCAGAGAGACATGGCTGGAGGGTGGAGCCCCCTGAGGTCAGTGATCAGGAAGCTGTCATGGATCCAGCATCCCCTGTCATATTGCGATATGGCTTATTTTATGTTGAACGAATTTTTGTAAATCATCCCAATGTTTGTGTTGGGTGTGAGATGAGGGGGTAGCAGAAAGGGAAGGGGGTGGAAATTTGGGAAGAAGAGAGTGAGAACAAGAGGTGTTGGTGAGTGGGATTAACACAGCTGCAGACAGAGCTGGAGCCAGACCCGGGGAAGCCGGCCGTGGGGAAAGAGACGGCCAGCAGTGGGCTCTGCAGGGAGCCCAGGCTTCCTGTGCCAGCTAGACCGTGGGTGACCAGGAGCGAGGTGGGGAGGATGTGCTGGGCAGATGGATTAGCCTCTGTGAAGGCAGCAAGTTCTGGAGCACTTTGTTCAGGAAGTGACCAGAAGCTGCATGTGGCAGGGCCGTGTGGTAGATGGACAAGTGGCAGGACGTGAGGCTGTCCGGTAAGTTGAGGCAAGTGGAAGAAATCCCAGACACATTTGGATAATTTTCAATTTCTCTTTAGGCACTTTTCCAAAACAAAGATCATCTGGGGAGTTTGGGTGAGGATGGGAGCAAAATGTGGGGTGCGGTGAGGCCACAGCCGAGGCTCCGGGATTTGCCCTATCGGGTGTTAGGAATTGGTTCTCTTAGGTTTTGTTTTGTTATAGTTACTGTTACAGATGATTGTAGGGTCCAGCTGTGCCACAGAGTGTCATCAGGGTGACCACTGGGGTGTCCAGTGTGAAGATCTGACAAAGCCCCATTGTTTGGGATGACTTGGAATCACTCCTAAGAACAGACAGGCTTCATTTCTGTCTCAAACTCCGAGAGATACTGAAAACTCTGGACTCAGCGGGGGCCTGCTTGGAGGAGGGGAGCATTGCTCACAGCTTGAGCGGCAGCACTCGGTGGCGGGGTCCCCAGATGCCGCCCCGCCCCAGGGCTGCTCTGCCATCTAAACCACACCGACTTCCTGCGCGAGCTCGCTTGTCTCTCCTGTCTCTGGGCTCTTCCAGCAAACTGCTCCCTGTGGGGGAACGAGGTCCCCCTTGTCTTGTCCTTTGGTTATTTGTCCCACTTTTCTCTTTCAGAGGGCCGCTGCCAAGGCGACAAGTCAATGTTCTGTAGGATGGAAGTCTTGTCTCGCTATTGCTCCATCCCAGGCTACAACAAGCTGTGCTGCAAGTCCTGCAACCTCCACAACCTCACCGACGTGGACGACGGGGCAGAGGCGCCGCCTGGGAAGCACAACGACATCGACGTGGACGTCGAGGCGCTCGCGCCCACCCTCCCAGTGCCCACCCTCATCGTGGAGGTGGAGCCTCCACCAGGCACACCCCTCGAGGTGCCCCTCAACGCCTCCAGCTCCAACGCCACCGAGGACCACCCAGAAACCAACGCTGTGGATGTGCCCTACAAAGTCCACGGCCTGGAGGACGAAGTCCAGCCACCCAACCTGATCCCCCGACGACCGAGCCCGTACGAAAAGACCAGAAACCAAAGAATCCAAGAGCTCATTGATGAGATGAGGAAGAGAGAGATGCTCGGAAAGTTCTAATAAAGTGGAAAGATAGCATCAATAGCATTTTTTTCCTTGCTTATAGAGATATTCCATGGGATGGCAACTCCGGTGCTGTGGAGATGAAGTCAGAATTCCCGGTTCCAAAAGGCTTTGCGAAAACAAAGAGGGAGAATGTTAAATATATATATATATGTATATACACACACACACATACATATATATATGTGGTTGTGAGCAGGTGGCACCTAGGTTGGTACGTGTGCTCCCCAGCCCTGGAGTGTTCTGAGTCCTGTACCGGGGCTGGGTGTGGGGTGAAGGGGAACACAGAGGTGCGACAGTGCCCGTCAGTGAGAGGAGGCAGGAGGGCTAGCTCAGAGAGAGAAGGCGCTTGCCCCGAGTTTCTGAGCAGTGGTTGGGGATCTCCCTTCCTTCGTGGTGACAACCCCTGCTGGAGACGAGGGAAATTTCCAACCCGTCTCCAGACCGAGGTACAAGCCCCCTTGGGGACTCTTAGGAGAAACAGTGATGTATCTACTAAGTTAACCTGCCACTAAGATGAGCGCAGTGAAGTGGAGGCTGTGAGCCCCACCCAGGGCCTTGGAGGGCCGGGGTGAGTGTGACGGCCAGCGGGGGCCACGCCCCACCGTGAGAGCTGGCCCTTGCTGCCAGGCAGTGTGCTTTCTCAGTAGAAGGCTGGAAGTGTTCTTGTGAAAAGCCTCCATCTTAAAGATCAACTCAAAATACGTGACGGGTCTGGGCGCCTGCCGGGGTCTGAGCCGCCAGGCTGCAGCCTCCGGTCCCCAGGCGTGGCCGGGGGCGGTCTCGTGCACGAAGGACTTCAGGAACGCCATCCGATCCGTCTGGTGCTCTCGCGCTGCATTTGAGTGTCTCAACCAAACCCGAGCTGTGAAGCTGCCCATTTCCTTCTGGGAAGGTGTCAGGAATGCCCTAACTGGGACTTGAGGATAGATGGAAACACGTTTTCTACTTGAGGAGAAGACAGCGGTGGGGCCGGCCACGCCTAGGCTCTCCCAGGTCCCCTCTTCACTAACCCTGGTCCTGCTTATCACCTCTGGCCGGTCTGGCCTCAGGCCCAGGGCTCCCCAAAGAGGCTCTCCCCTCCCCCAGGTGCACCGGAAGGATGAGGGAGGCATGCGTTCTGCTGGAGAGTCCAGTGAGGGGGCAAGGCCTGCAGCCCCCACTCTGGGGCAGGAGTGCTCCCAGCAGGGTGGGGCCTGTGGGGGCTCAGGTTTGCTCCTGAAGACCAGCTGCTTCGCTTGCAGGGCCCAGGCTTGCCAGCCCTGGGGAGTCCCCTCGAGTCCTGTCCCCACCTCCATCCCTTAGAAGTGCCAGCTGTGAACTGCCTGACTGGGCCTCCGATGGGGGGCCGAGGGTGGAGGTGGGGAGAGGCTGCTTTATCCTTTGCTCTTTCCAAACTTTAATAACTTCTATCTTTAGCATCATAGTGCTTTATGAGCCTGATGAGAATGAGAGAGAAATAGGAAGGGACTGGGGGGAGGGGGAATGGGAAGACAGTGGCTGATTTTTCACCTCTGCCTGCATTGATATGTCCTGAACAAGCAGCTTAAACTTGCCAAAATTGCAAGACCTGGGCACATTAGCTCCTTAGCGGGGGCCTCCCTAATTCTGAAGCTTTTCATGTTCAGGAAAGTTCTAGAGCTTTTGGATTCTCACCAGTCATAGATCTTAGAGAATTCTTTCTTGTTTCATTCCCCGTCCTGTGGAGGAGACTACCAAAGCTCAGGATAACACCCTGATAGCTACTTCTTGTTGAGTTTTGAGGTGCTAAGTGCGTCTGTCTGCACCTGTGCGTGGGTGTCAGCATGCCTCTGCGCGTGGTCTAAGGGACAGAGTAAGGGTGCAGGAAACAGTGCAGGGACATCTGGGGCGCTGCTGGGATGATCACTCACCTCCCCGTCTCCCCGGCTCAGCCTGCCTCCCTCCTCTCTGCCGCCGTGTTCCCCACTTGCTCATATGTGCCCCAGTGTCTCAGAGGACTTTGCTGGCTTCCAAGAACCAAACTGGAGAAATTTCTGAGTATCTCTCATGGTATCACTTCCTCAGCGAGATGCGGTGGGAAGCATTCCTGCAGCCCCATCTCTCCCCATTGGGAAATGGGTCCACGGCTTTCCCTCATTGGTTGAACTCACGGCAGCTGGTGCTACTTACGGGCGGAAGGGCTGGACCGTGCTTGCTAGGGTCCGTCCTAGAATGTCAAGGAAACTCCAGACCAACGTGACTCGGTTTACCCAGCCTGGGGGCCACAGGTTGGGAAGACTCCCTCCCCGGATTCCCACAAAGCCAGGCTGTGCGTCTTGGCAGCTGGAAGCCTTTGACGGGGGGCCCTAGGTGGGGCCCTCCCAGGGCTCTTCTTGTGCTGCAGGAAGAAAGGTGTCCTCTGGGAACTGTAGGTCAGTGTGGCCATGGCCGCACATGCCATACTCAGTGCCTTGGGCCATATATCCACAGAGATCTGTAGGACCAGATGGTCCTCAGAGGTCTATCTAAGAAGGCAGTGCTCACCACTCTGAGACACTGCAAATCTCTGCTGAGCTTGAGGTAGCTGGAGAGCTGGCTTAGCAACAGGCCTGAGCTGCCAGCGGTGGCCGAGGGGCCCCTGCAGCCTGGGGGAGGCAGAGGACGTCTTGGGCGGAGGTTCCCTAACACCAGGTTGAGGCTCAGAGGTCCTCTCTGTCCGTGGCTCTGAAAGTCAGCCGAGGGGCCTGAGAGTCACTGCGTGTCTGTAGGAGACTTGTGCTGGAGTTTTGGGACCTGGCTTTCTGATCTACTCCTTTTGGAAAACCCATGGAATTTCACATATAAGCCTTTTGTGTGTACTTTGTTTTTTGTTTGTTTGTTTGGAGTATACAAATGGTGCTCAATAGCCAAGTCTTTATCAGATGAAGCATTATGACTATGCACTCCTGTCTGCCAGGCAGCCCCACACCATGGTGCTGAACGCACATGACATTTTATCTTACTGATAACAGCAATCAACACACTTGTTTTTCTGTATACTCAAATTTGGCTTCTTGATTTTTATAACTTATTAAAGTCAAAATGTCTATGTTTTTGCACATCATACCTGTGTGTTTGTTACCTTGTCTACGTCTGTTCCCCCTCGCCACCCTGAACTTGGGCAGACAGAAGGATGTGCTGCCCTCGCAAAGCCAGGAGGTGTGGGGGGACACTGGTAAGCTGTGAGTCAAGGCTGCTCAGGGCAGGATCCCGAGAAGGGCAAGAGGCACCCAGAGGCCTGATCCTCTCCCATTCCCCATGGGGTCAGTCCTCCAGCCAACATGGCGTAGCCAGTAGCTCCTAAGTCACCCTGCAGGTCAAGGAGGAGGTGAGGACTCTGCAGACACCTCCTCCTCCCTCATTACCACCCCACTTCTCTCCTCTAATTAGGGTTTCCAGGAAGAACTGCTAGATGCTGAGTTAAATTTGAAATTCAGTGAAATGCTCTTGGATCTTAGAATATTTATGTTGTAAGTACAGTTAATATGTACACTGATATACATGTATATGCATATATATATATATATATATATGAATACAGTGGATCACTTGGTTTGCTACAGACATTGTTAAAAAAAAATAAAAAGCAAAGCTGCATAACTAGGATAAGATATTTGCAAATCGCTTATTTGACAAGAGACTTGATTACATACTATATAAAAACTCTCCAGTCTCAGCATTAAACAAACAAACAAACAAAAAACCCAAACTGGGCAAAGATTTGATAGACACTTCACTAAAGAGAAATGGATGGCAAATAAGCACATGAAAAATAATCGAAATCATTAGGCTTTAGAGAAATGTTTTTTAAAACCACAATGAGACAATATTACCAACCTATTAGTGAGGTGGGAAGCCCCATGAAAATGACGGCAGGACTCAGGCAGGGCCACTACTCTCCTGCCAGCACCATCTGGTTCCCTGGCCCAGCAGCATTATCTCGCTTTTTGCCTCTGAAACAGCTTCTAGGAGAGTGGAACTTAGCCGTAAAATTCTATTGGTTCCCTGAGCTAGCTCCTGATTGGTCCATTTGTAGCACCTCATTTGCATGGAGCTCACTCCTGGTTTGTCCATTTCTATCACTATTGATTGGTCCATTTCTACAAAGCTTGTTCCTAAATAGACAACTTTGTTGCATCTTATTTGCATATGATGTTTCAAAGTGTAGACTGGCAGCCTATAAAAGCCTGTGTAACCCTACAGACAGGGTCCAGAGTTTGGAGCGTTAGCTCCTCTGGGCCCGCTGGCGTAATAAACATGAGTTCTCCAACCCTGTGAATGCTGCTTGGTCTTTCACCCGGATCCAGGTTGCTGTCACCACTGAGCTGTAACACACTTTGCTGCAACATTAGCAGGATTAAAATGAAAAACAAACAAGCAAAACAAATACACCCTGACAATACCAAGTGCTGGTAAGGAAGTGGAGCAATGGGAACCCTCCTGCACTGATCCTGGTAATGCAAAAATGGAATGACTAGTCGACAGTTTGGTAGCCTCCTATTACGTTAAATACTCACCTTCAACATGACTGAGCAATCCTATTCCCGGGAACTTACCCAATAAAAACTAACTCACTCTCCCTCTCTTTCTGTCTCTCTCTCTCACACACACACACACACACACAAACACAAACACACACACAAATAGAAAAGGCTCTCTTTTCTGAAAGTTCCCACTTACAAGATCATGTGGCTTCTATTAATAGTTTCTGCAAAGCACTTCAGCTTTTTACTAGCACACACCCACTCTGCTCAACACCCACTGCCCAGTTCCAAAACAACATCCACGTTTTATGCTTTCATTATGGCAGCGCCCAAATTCCAAGTACAAAAATCTGCATTAAGTTATCCATTGCTGCATAACAAATCACCCCAAAACTTAGCAGGGCAGAACAACAGGCATTTACTAACCCACAGTTTCTAAGGGTTAGGAATCCAGGAGTGGTTCACCTGGGTGTTTGTGGCTCAGTGTCTCACATGAGGCTGCGGGAAAGCTGATGGCTGTGGCTCGTCTCATTTGAAGGCTGAACTGAGGGAGGACCCACTTCCGCCCTCATTCATGTGACTGTTGGAAAGCCACAGTTCCTTGCTAGCTGCTGGCCAGGGGCTTTGGTTCCTAACCACATGGAACTCGCCACAGGCTGTCTGAGAGGCCTCACGACATGGCAGCTGGCTTCCCAAAGGACAAATGATCCAAGAGAGCACATGGCCAATACAAGAGCCACAGTCTTTATATAACCAAACATTTTAAATAATGTACCATTCCTTCTACCACATTCCGGTCATTAGAAGTGAGTCACTGAATCCAATACATACTTAAGGGCAGGGTGAGTCCCGTATCTTGGAGGGCAGCTTATCAAAGCATTTTGGAATATAATTTTAAAACTATCATCCTATTTCTGGACTCTCTTTCTGTCTCATTGATCTACAGGTCTATCCCTTCACCAATATCAGTGTCTTTATTACTATAGCTTTGTCATAAGACTTAAATGAGTATTTTGAGTCCTCAGCTTTATTCTGCTTTTTCAAAATTGTTTTGGCTACTAATTCCTTTGCTTTTCCACCTGCTGTTTTAGAAGCAAAAAGTGAGATAGAGCCGCTGGGCCAGGGAACCGGATGGCGCTGGCAGGAGAGTAGTGGCCCTGCCGGGGGTCCTGCTGGTCTTTTTCATGGGGCTTCCCACCTCACTATCATTACTTTTCAGGGTCCTCAGGCAGCTGCTCCATGCACTGTCTAGGATTTTTGCTCATATTTAGTGGGAGATATAAGGCAGTGTGTGCTTACTCCATCAAGTTGAACCAAAACCAACCAAAGTTGCTTCCAGTGATTATATCCATACAGAATAAACTCACAAACAGGGAATTTATGAGTATAAAGGAAGCATATTGACTGGAAGCTTCTTATTCATCACGTCTCCAATCACACTTAGCCTAAATTTTTTATTAAAATTTTTAACATAAAGTTTAGAGGATGATCAACGAACATATCTATATCGTCCACAAAGATTTGACAACAGTTGACTAATTTTTGACATATCTGAAAATATGCTGCAAACATCATGACTTTTTAAACTTGAAAACTTTTGCATGCATCTCCTAAGAAAAAGGGCATTGTCCTTTATACCTCAGTACCATTATCACATCTAGGAAAATTAAACATACTACATTATCTAATACCCATTCCACCCTCACATTTCTCCACGTTCCTCCCAAGTGTCTTGTAGAGTTGTTTTACTGTTTCTGAATCAGAAGCCAATTAAGGATCACATCCTGCTTTTGGTTCCATCTCTTGAGTGGCTTCATCTAGAAGACTCCACTTTGTTACATTGGCTTCTTGAAAAGTCCAGACTGGTTGTCTCGTACAATGACTCAAACTCTGGGTTTGTCTATTTCCTCACCATGTAATTCAACTTGTTTCTCTGTACCTTGTATTGCTTGTAAACAGGACAATAAGTCTAGATAAGAGACTTTGATTTTCATTAAATATTTTTGGCAAGAATCCACCACAGACGCTCGTGTGTGCTTCATACGGCATCTCGTCAGGAGTCACGTGGTGTCAGGTTGCCCCACTGGTAGAGAAACTCAGTTTGACAGCCAGATCCCTCCATTATAAAGGCATGTCTTTCCTCTGCACTTGGCATGTGATCTTTTGACACCAGGTCAATAATGTTCCTTAAAATTTTTTTTTCGTTTATTAGGGTTTTATCATCCATTGAATGTGCCTGATTTGATCACATTAAGGGTTGTAAAATGGTAATTCTTCTAAATTTATCACTGCATGCACAATTAAAAGATGGCTTCTTCAAGTACGTTTATAAAAAGCTGTCTTTTTTTGTGTTTTTCCATCATGGGCTTATTTTACTTTTACTTATATGTTGTAACTAATTATGGTGATTATTCTTTTTGATGTTTCAACTGTCCTAAATTTGATCACTGGAAGTACCTTCAATTTGGCCTCCGTGTCCTTCTGACACTGTCCCATTCATCTCTGTTCTTGTGCTATTGCATAAAAAAATGTTCCAGGCATACTTTACACTCTCCCTGCTCCAAATATGGAATCAGCCATTTCTCCAAGGAGTTCTAGATCCTTTTAGTGGGGAAATGGCATTTAGAAACCAAAATCTGGGTACTAAGCATGCTCACTGCTATTGGGCAATCAAAACATGTTTTTATTTATAATGCCTTGCAAATGGCTCTGTACAATGTTAAATTTTGAGGTTTGTTTAAAAGCTTCATTTTCCTTCTAAATACACTTAAATATATGAGATACTTTCTAATGAGCTAAGTCAAAAGACATACTATGCTGAATTCTTGAGTTTAATTCTAAAACCTTTTTCAGATAGAAGGTTCTAGCTAATTTTAATAGAATAATCTTTTGAATGATACCAGCTGTGAAGGGGAAATATAAAACTGGAGGAAGCAGGCCCAAGGGGAAAATGAAATCTTTCTAAAAAAACATGGAAAATGTTTGGATAAACAATTTCAACTGATGATTGGAATGTTTAATAATAAAATATGCATATATCACTTTACAAAAAGAATTCCTAAAAGACGTGTCACAAAAACAAACAAAAAGGCAATCTTCTGTGTGAAATCTCCAGGGGCAGTTTCACCATCGGGACCTCAGCTGGGGTCTTAGGGTTTATGTTAATAATTTATGTTAGTATAAAAGCAGTTATAATTAGGGACACATAAGAAAATGGAAAAACATGACTAAGTCAGTTATCAAGATTAAAGTCAGGGGGAACCTGTCAAACATGAAAATTAAGCTGATTAAGTTAGGGTAATTGTGCCCCTAACCCGTTTGCAAAACACATAGCTTTGGGACTTGCACTCTTGGGACTTGAGGTTGAAAGTGAACCTATAATCAACACAGAAACCCAGAACGGAAGACCTAGATCCTAGTCTTGACTCTGCTCAGTGAGCTCACTTTCCTTATGAGTGAAATGAAAGGCTCTACATAAACTTAAGATCTCTCCTGGCTCTAATGAGCTGCCAGGTGTCCAGTCAGATTCTGGAAATACATCAGTCCTGCAACGGACAGGAGAGTGTCTGTCTGACAGTCTCTCTACCTGCTTCAGTTTACTCCAGCGTCTACCACACTGTAAGTCTCTGTTCAGCAACGTAGAATCATAGCAAATAAGTAATAATGTAAGAAAGAGACACCGCCGGAAAAAAATATACATGTATTTATAAATATCACTTGTTGGTGTGGCAGCTCACGGAAAGTGAGCTTGATTATTTCCATGTGAAAACCTAAATTTAAAGAATTCCTTTTCACCTTTAGCTTCTCTTTATGAAAGGCGGCATGTCCTACGTCTGCCTGCCATTTTAGAAAATAAGGCCCCACATTTATTCACATTATTAATAACTCAAAACCTATTCCCAAAAGAAAATTCATGTTGGAGCTTACTCTTAGAGGGGAATAAAGTCTGATGAAAGAAACAAAACGTTTAGTCTATTATTTTCATTTTTTTTTAAACATGAAAGTTTAAAAATTTGTTTTTTAAAGTTAGGCCTTTTACATTTTTCTACGAATTTAAACATTTTACGTATTTTTCGAAACCTTAGAATTTATTGGTTCTTATAAAATGTGCCAAGTCAGTGCTCTTTATATTTTATCAATACTTAATGGTGACTGGCACATTCTCTCTAGGAGAAATAAAAAAAGACTTAATCTATCAGAAGTTGGTGCCCTGTTTATCATTCTCCTGATCATTCTCCAGTGAGAATTCTTAAATTATCTGAGGTGAATTAAACGTCACAGGGCTTATATCTTCTAAGAAATCTCCAACCCCGTATTCCTTCCATTTATAGAGCTTCTCTTTACTGTGGACTTTTTTGTGTCTACAAAGGTTTGACCTGTAACTGTAGGCTTTCCCACATTCCATGCATTTGTAGAGTTTCTCTCCAGTGTGGATTCTCTCGTGTTCAGTTAGGAATGAATACTGGCTGAACGCCTTTCCACACTGATTACACCGGTAGGGTTTCTCTCCTGTGTGAATTCTCTGATGTCTGTAAAGGTTGGATTTGCAACCAAAGGCTTTCCCACACTCTCTGCATGTGTACAGTTTTTCCCCAGTATGCATTTTCCGATGCTCATTAAACGATGAATACTGGTTGAAGGTTTTCCCACATTCCTTACACTGATGGGGCTTCTGTCCGGTGTGAATTCTCTGATGTTCAATGAGGGTTGAGATGCGTGTGAAGGTTCTCCCACATGCCACGCACGTACACAGTTGTTCTCCAGTGTGAAGCCTCTGATGTTCAGCCAGGGATGTAAACTGGCTGTAACTTTTCCCACATTCACTACATGTATAGGGTTTCTCGCCTGTATGGATTCTTTGATGCCTACGAAGTTTTGCTCTACAGCTGAAGGCCTTCTCACACTCACCGCATTTATAGAGCTTCTCCCCAGTGTGGATTCTCTGATGCATCGTGAGGGTAGAACACTGGCTGAAGGCTTTCCCACACTCCTTGCACTGATAGGGTTTCTCTCCAGTGTGAACCCTCAGGTGCTTGATGAGGGTTGAACTGCTGCTAAATGCTTTCTCACATTCGTTACATTTGTAAGGTTTCTCTCCAGTATGAATTCTCTGATGGGCAAGAAGAGATGATCTGTGGCTGAAGGTTTTCCCACACTCATTACATCTGTAGGGTTTCTCATCAGTATGAATTCTCTGGTGTTCAATAAAATGAAGAGCCTGGTTGAAGCTTTTCCCACATTCACTGTAAATATGAGGCTTTTCTCCTGGGTACATCTGGAAATATCTCATTAGATCAAAATTCTGTTTAAAATCTCTCCCCAGAGTATAATATAAATTGGGTCTCCTTTCTATAGGAACACTCTGTGGTGTAACAAGAACTGTATTTATAAGCAAGCCTTTCCCCAGCTCAAAACTTGTCTGGTTCCCATCTCTGCTGATGGTTCTCCTGTGTGAAGCCACCGTCTGCCCAGGAGCTTTCTTCTCTTGCTCCTGTTGTATCCTGCCCTCAAATTCCAAAGCTCCTCCCAACCTGACATCCAAGTGACCAAACTTCATGGATTTTCTCTGCGTTATTCCCTGAGATGTCTCTTCTATAGAACTGTCCTGTTTCGGAGGCAGTGCTTCTATTTCAGGCCATGTCTTAAAATCTAGAATGAATCAGAAGAATTAACGGCGCCTCTGTTGGAAGAGACAAACGTGCATCAGTGGGACAGTAAAGCTGGCAACGCACAGAAAAGAGGTTTGATACCACGCGATCTCGCATACAGACTTGAACCTGGAGAGAAACAGGATGGAATGGAAGGAGAGGCACACAGGTTAAGGAGAGGTGCGAGAGGATAGAGTGGACTCATCAGAGTGAAAATGAAGACGCTGCCACTGGAGAGGAGTAAAGGCAGACAGAAGAGCTGGCTGAGCAGAAGGAGTGAGGATGCAGGAAAGTGTGGCTGATGAGCTCGGCCTGAATCCTACGGGACCCTGCAGTTTACCTTCATCTCCTGCTCTGAGAACACGAGGCAATGAAGCAGGTAACGTCTCTTTACTTCCTCCTCTCTACCCACACGTTGCTTTTATTATATTTTTTTCCCCATGCTATCACTGAAACTCTATACGCAGTAACTTAAAAATATTTGCAATGTTTCCTTTAAATTTTGTTTTTGTATGTGGATATGATTTCATAGCAGTCTGCAAAAGGGGAAACAGTCTCTTAAAAAGGAGGACATCAGGGTTTAGAACTTACAGCAGCCCTGAAGCCTGACGGGCTGATGCCACCTGATCTACGCTCACGACGCTGATTGTAAAAAAGGGGGGAGTACGGAGAACGTCCGCCACACACAGCCATCCACCCCCCGTGGCTGACGGCGGGACGACTTCTTTCACACCACCCACCACTGCGTTCCCCTCTCTACCTGGTCATGAGGAACAGCAGGCACGTTCATGTCTTCTAATAAGCTGCAACCAGAAGACTGGATTCTCTTTGTAGGAATTTTTTGAGATTAATGAAAGTCTACAAGAGAGGTGAAGTTCTGACGCATGCCCAAGCCCCGGGCTCCAATCTGATGCTGAGTGAGAAGGTCTAGCTTGCGCTGACTCTAATGAGCTCTGGGTTACAGCCTGGCTCACTTTCATCGATCCACGATTGAAAACAGATTAAAATTAGATCACTATAACTAGGTCATTGTATGTACTTAAATAAGCTAAACACCTTAAATAAAACATAGGTTAGTTATATTAATAAAGTCCATCCAGTTTTAGTAATAAAGTATATTTTATTGAAATTAAATTTAAAAAAGAAATATAGGCTATAATTCTGTATAAAAATCCAGATTTTTTTCTTTATGGGGCCCTGCGTTCATCCCCTGGCAGCGTCACCGACAAAACAAAACAAACAAAAAATAGATTTTCCTTAATGATATCTATGGGAAACCTAGCAGTTTGGATTTTCAAGGTCAACCAAGGTACCTTCTCTGTTTTAATCCTGTCCCACAATATGACCTTCCTGCCCAACCAGAAACGTACCCTATTACTCTAATCATATTTCTTTACAGAAACTCAATTGTTTAAGCCTAAACTGACCATCTTGCTCTTAGAATATCAAAACATTCTATCACTTAACTTACACATATAAAGCTTCTGAAAATAATTCCAGTATTTGCTCAAGGACAACGGTGGATATGTCTTATGATGATTTGTTACTTCCTTACTGTGTATAAGACAAGTACACAGTTAGAATGTCTTAGACAAAAAAAGAGAAAAAAAGAATTAAACAGAGAGAGCAAGCTGGAAAAATTACTATAAAGGGCAGGTGAGTTTGGAAAGGAAAAGAGATTCTGTCCTGTCTTACTGGAATCCTGAGACTGAATCAGTCACTTACTGAACAAATACTGACTAAGAGGCAATGATAATAAGAAATAAATAAATGACCAGACAGTAACCGTTCATTCCTCCACGGTGTGGGGCTCTGGTTTGAGGCTCAGAGAATGAGGATACTGCGGCCAACAGCGTTAGTAAAGAACGGCCGTGTGAAGGGAGACGGACGGCAGAGAAGGGACGGGCTTCAACAGAAAAAGAAAGGAGGCCGTGCGAGCCAGAAAGAAGGCTGGTCAGAGTCATCCGTGGGGACAGTAACCCGTGCAGGGGAGGCGTATTGGCTAAAGAAGGAAATCCAGGTTGGAACTAGTCAAAATTTTGGTTAAGCACAGTAAGGCCAAGTTTCTGAATAACTGAATGAAGAATTCAGAATAACATAATAACTGAAGGCGTTACCAGTTCTTAGGCAGGTAGTAATAAGACAGAGTGGTCATACTCGGCAGAGGGGGCAGCGTGGCTCAGAGGAGGGACAGGATGGAATCTGAAAATGATATGGCTGCAGTGGTCTGGCTGGACTGGGCACCTCATTTTGAACCTCACTGGCACTGAGTTAATCGTAGAGGCAATTCAATTCAATTTAAAAAAATATTGACCAAATCCAATATATTGGATACTGGAGGCACAGAATTCAAAGACTTGGTCTCTCCCTTAAACATGCAATCTAATTAGAAAGAAGTGAGTAACTACTAATAAATGGAAACAAAACAACTATAATCCATTATGATAAATACTATAATGGACATGTTCCAGGCATGCAGAAGGTGCTACATGGACACAAACGACGGGCAGATGAACGCGGACTGGGAAGCAGGAGAGACAAGGAGAACCCGCAGACGAGGGCGGCCTGCGAGGCGGGCAGAAGGGCGCTGGAGGGGAGGTGGCTTCCCAGTGGACAGGACGGAAGAGGAGAGCCAAGCTAAGGACAAACACACAGATGCTCATGAGTACACAGCGTGGCCAGAGCATGGCGCCAGAGTGGAAGTGGCCACTGACGAAACCACATAGGAATCTGCAGACAAGCTATGACGTAGGCTTAATGCCACATTAAGGAATCTTACTTCACTCCATGGATAACAGAGAAACAATGAAGTCACTTAAGGTGTAGGATGAACACTTGAGTTTCAAAAAGATCACTCTGCTGACGGCGTGGAAGCTGGGTGGAGAGAACACGGCTCCGGGAGGAGAGGGTTAACTTTCCCGTCGCTCATGAGACTTCTGCAAATCGCAGTGGGGTAAAGTGACAGCTGGAATGTCTAAGCTCAAACCATCGTCTCACATGCTGCACTGCACTGCCTGCTAACTCTTTATTAGGAGAAACCTGTATTTTAATAAAGTCGAAAAATATCTGTAGGGAGAACAAGTGAAAAAAAGATGTCAACGAAAGCAAGACTCGTAGATTAAAACTTAAACCACAAAGACAGGAGCACAATATTGGCGGATCTACGTCACATGGTGAACAGAAATGACACTGGTGATCTAGGTTCTTGTCACGACACTTCAGCTTTGTAGCTCTGTGACCAAAGTATTTAAAAATCTCTGATGCTCTGTTTATTCAGATATAAAAAGAGGAAGTGAAATTTGATCATCTTTAAGTGATCCCCTAGTCCTGACAACCTACAGTTTGGTGATAAAGACCAACTAGGTCAGACCGGGCTAGCGGAGCAGTCAGCAAACTTCAGGTCTCTGGGCCAAATCCAGCTGCCCCCCGTTTCTGCAAAGTTCTGTGAGGACACAGCCACACCCGCTCGCCTAAGTACTGTCTCTGGCTGCCTTGGCACCGTCCCCAGCAGAGTTAAATGCTTGCAAGAGACCGTACGGCTCCCAAAGCCAAAACAGTTACTACCTGGTCCTTTATGGGAAAAGTTTGCCGGCCTCGGACTAGAAAGGCCCCCGGGGTTATGTTAACAAAAGCCGGCTGAACGTAACAGCGGAAGATGACAACCCAGTTTCAAGAAAATAAAAGGGAAATGTTAAGAAACCAGAAATAAAAGGACGTTGATAATACTCTGAAATGTGTGGATGGTTACAGAAATGAAAAAATTATAAAGATTTCAAAATGTGGCAGAAGGTGTGAAGTCTTTAATCTGTCAGACACGAACAGGTGTAAACACAGATGAGAAGAAACCATGAAGACCAAGGGGCCACAGACGGCAGGAGGAAGTGAGTGAGCGGTGGAAGCAAGGGACAGAGAGCGCAGGGAGTGCACAGGAGGAAGAGGTCAAGACAGGGATCTTCCTGATGCAAAGAAACCGTTGCAACCAAGGGGCTGTCTACCAGGTGGCCCTGAGCGTCTCCACGGGGCTTTGAATCCCCAGGAGCTCTCCGAGCCCTCCTCAGGACCCGCTCGTGCCCGTCGCCCAGTCACTCACTCACCGAGATGGGGGTCTTCAGGGATTTCTCTTTCCACCATACAGGGGTCTTCTCCTAGCTGCAACCGGCAGATCACCTTCGGCGTTGAAAATGGAATCCCTGCTCGCGAGGAAGGAAATGGAGTTGGAACAGAAGGCAGGAGAGCAACCCCCGGACTCACAAGCCAGACCCTGCAGGGCAGAGGGGCAACACCAGCACTTTGGGGGATGGGGCAGGAGGCGGGTTTGCTTCAGGAACAATACGGGGCCCTAAGTATGAAAGCCTCTGAGATGGGAGGCCTTCCTGTACGGTTTTCAGACACTAAACTGGGATCTGGTCATTGGATCAGGAGGCGGGGCGGGGGGCAGGGCGGGAGGCAGGCAGAGGAAGAACAGCGTCACGACATGAAGGGCATCACGACAAACAGGCACGCTTTCAACTCTACAGGTTCTGGTCCTTTCCCGGGGGTGTGCAGGAGAGAGGCCCACAGACTCGAACCCCAGAGGGAGCCCTAAGGTGCCCCCGCAGCAGGTGCCCGCGCCCGGCAACCTCCTCACCCAGAGAAGCCAGGGCGCTGAAGTTGTCCAGCATCACCTCCCGGTACAAGGCTCTCTGCGCGGGGTTCAGGTGCAGCCACTCGTCCCGGCTGAAGAACACGGCCACATCCCCGAACGTCACAGACCCCTGTAACGGCAAAGCCACTCCTGTCCGCCCAGACCACATCTTCTCCACCGGGAGACTCAGTGAGGAGGTGACACTGGGATGTGTGGCAACCAATTCTGAAATGCCCCAGGACTCTAAGTATTCCAAATCAACTATTCGTGTTATTTCTGGAACCACCCATCAATTACTAAACAGATATTTACTGAGTGCCCACTTAGAGCAAAGACCCATGCTGCCTGCTCTGAGGGTAAGAAAAAAGGGGCAAATTTCCTGCCAAGAGGGAATTTACATACCAACCTGGGGTTTGTCAGAGTAACCGAGTGCATCCATTTATCTCCTCCTTGCCACTCAAAATCCAAATTAAATAAAAGGGGAAAAAAATCAGAGTACATTTAGAGCAATGCTGGAAAACAGGGGACGGTATCAGTAGAGAATAGATCACTAAGAACATCAGTGATGACAACTGGGGTACAACTTGCTGCGTGTTCACTGGGCACCAGACGTTGTGCCAGGTGGCTTACGTACCCACGCTCTCACGCCATCTTTTTGGATTAATGGGAGCTTCTGATGACACCATCAAGAAAAAACATCACAAAAGGGTTTAAAAAAGGAGGGCGTGGTGGATTGAGAAATAAACTTTCTTAGACAAGCAAAAAATTCATTACCAGCAGAGCTGCCCTGCAAGAAATGACAGAAGTTCTTCAGGGAGAAGGAAAATAATACAGGTCAGAAACTTGAATCTACATTAAGGAAAAGCAGCAAAGAAGGAATCAAGTGAAAATAAAATCGTTTATTTGCCTTATTCTTAACTGATCTAAAAGGTAACAGCTTAAAGTAATAATAACAACGAACTGAGTGATGACAGCATATGAGGGGTAAAACGAGTGACAGCAAGGTCACGAGGGATGGGTGGGAGGGACGGGGACTGCTCTGTATCTGTAACACCCAGGAAGCAGCATGGTGTTACTTAAAGGTGGACTTAGATTAGTTGTAAATTTAGACTGCAAACTGCAGGGCAACCGTTAAATTTTCTTTTTAAAAAAAGAAGCACTACTGACATGCAGAGACAGTAGAAAGACTTGTGGTTGGCAGCGGTTTGGAGTAGGGCAGGGGAAGAGGGCTAAACGGGTGAAGCAAAGGGATCATTTTAGGGCAGTGAAACCATTCTGTATGCTACTGTAACGGTGGATACGTGACACTCTGCATTTGTCAAAACCCAGAGAAATTTACAACACAGAGAGTGAAACTTAATGGATGCCAATTTAGAAAGCTCATTTCCAATGCTAGAGGGTCCCGGAATGGAACACAGAGTGTGACAGACAGTCTACATACAGTACAAACGTACGGCCCAACCTACTGAAGGAGGTGGTAGGAGAGGTGCTGACCTTCCTAACTGTGGAAATGAGTGGGGTCTGTGAGACCAGCGGGACCGCGCAGAAGCACTGCACCCTGGCTGACAACGTAGACTCCCAGCGGGGTATGAGCTAACAGTTCAGATACTGCTACCCATGTAGCCTGGAACTGAAGGGTTAACGTCATCGGCTGGCAGACGGGGGGTGGGGGTGGTGGTGGGGGGCTAGGTTTCTCACTGCTGTTGGAGCGGGAAGTTACAGATAAGGAAAGAAAGGAGGTTAGAACAACCCATGTGGCACGAAATCAGAGTTGGAGACATCAGTATGAATACTTAGCTTAACATACATACAGGTGGTTACCTACAGAAATACACATACAGATGGTTTTATCCACATATATATATAAAACTGTACACCTAGATGGTTACTTACAGAAATGTTTACACACGCACACACATACACATGAATTTCCTCTATCAGCTGAGAGGGTCTAAAAGCAAAGACACCCCAGCAGCAATGAGTAAACATAAGGCCCGGATCTTGCTTCTAACACCCTTCTCCAAGGAAAAATACCAGGGCTACTGGAGAAAGAGCTGATTTTGGTACTGGGCCAGGGAATACACAAAATCAGCCGAAGGCATCGCGCAGTGCCAAAAGTAAGGAAGTGCTCCAAAAACAAAACCAAACCCACACGCTGACAGGGGTCTGTCAAAGGGACAGAGGAACAAACTGAAAGAGCTCCCAATGGCCAAAGCTAGAACAATTTGAGCAACAAAATAAAGCAGTATTAGATTATAACCCGAAATAGAAAATACGGATCTATGAGCCCACACTAATAAAAACAATGAGGGAGAAGCAACAACCTTCTGTACAGAATTTCAAATAACTTATGTCGATTCTCTGCCCCCAAGGAGGTGGAGCATCATCCCTGCTCCTTGTGGGTGGGCCGCACACAGTGACTCCTCCCCACAGAGGATAGGGGGGCAGATGGAAAAGGAGAGGACGTTTGCAGTGGAGAATCCTGCCAGGTGCCATAAGGTCATCACCAACAGTGATAGGTCATTTATCAGTATGTCATTTTGATGACTACCTCTGTAGCTTTCCTCCCCAAATCCATAATGCCATTAAGAAAGATATCAGGCAAATCACATTAGATGAATATTCTATAAAATATTTAACCAATACCCCTCAAAACTGTCATGATCATCAGAAACAAGGAAAGTCTGAGAACCAGAGAACCAGAAGGAGCCTAAGAAAACATGACAACTAAATGTAACATGGTGACCTGGATGGGACCCAGGAACAGAGAAAGACTTAAGCTAAAAACTAAAGAAATATGAATAAAGTATGGACTTTAGTTAATAATAAGGTATCAACATTGGCTCATTTAATTGTAACAAATGTTTCATAATAATGCAAGATGTTCATAATAGCGAAAACTAGGTGAGGGGTACGTGGTAACTATGTACTTACATGGTAAGTACGGTACTACCTTTGAACTCTTTCTCTAAATCTAAAACTGTCTCCAAAAACTAATTTAAAAAAAATAGTGACAATACCAAAAACAGGTACTGATTTACTGCAAAAAAAAGTTAACTGACAAACTATAGCTATAAAGCAATCAGCACCAAGCCCTACGTATCTTTCCCCCACAAGATAAATTACATGTTATATGCAAATAGAATAGAATAAGGACTATTTGTAAAATCTGCGAGTATCCTGCTTCTTCCAAAAATTATGTTTGTTTTATTTTTCTGACAGACAGCAGAGAGAAATTCCCCTCTCAGGACCTTCAGTGAGGAAAGAAGGTGAGATTGAACACTGCCACTGATGGGACTCAAATGGGGTAATGAGACCTGTGATGGGGTCCCCTGGGGTCTCTAAGAGACTTAATGATCGAAGGGTTAGATACTGAATTAGTGGTCCACAAAATCTGGCTCCGAGGTGCAAGCATACTTCTCTCCCTCTTCCTTGAGCTAAACTCAAGTCAGCCTCTCCAGCCTGGGGGTGTGAGAAAGCTCACGACAGGCACGAGCCCTACTCTAGGCAGAGGGTGGCCCAGGTCACAGCTGCGTTTTGCTTTGCACTGCATTTTGCTGGTTTTATATTTTGGTTACCTGAAACACCCTGAACGCTGCTTGTAATTAAAGAATCGAAGGAAAACCTAGCCTAGTGAGGAGAGATGTACCAAATTCAGCAGGTCCTAAAATAATGCTGTTTCTGCTGTTACTAAAGTCGTGACAGCTGGCATTTACTGAGATTTGATATGTACCATGCACTGCTCTCAGCACTTCACATAGTCTGCCTCAGAGCATGTGAACTGTACAGACTGTCTCGTCTGGGTTTCAAAACCCAGCTGTATGACCTTGATTAAGTTACTTGCTGCTCTGTGACTCAGCCTCCTCGTCTGTAAAATGCAGATATTAACTCTCCTCTTGTAAGGATTAAATGAGGTATGTATACTACTAACCACACTTTCAAATGAGGAAAAGAGGCAGAGAGAGAAAATAATGTGCCTGGTCCCATGTCTAGCTTGCATGCAAACTCGTGAAACCAACTTTCAGAGTCCACATTTTCACCCTCCGGGCTAACGCTGCTTTGTAGACAAGCAGGAAGTGTCAACAGAATGGAAGGAAGCTGGTGTTGGGGGAAAGACAGGACTTTCGTGGGGAATATTTCACAAGGTTTGGGGAGTGACAGACTGGATCTCTAGGGAAAAGTTCAGGCTTGAGGACAGAGATTTGAGAAAGAGCCTCAGAAAGGAGAGGGTTAAATAATGAAAACAGATCTCAAGGAGAAAGAGCAAGAAACAAGAGCCCAGGAGGGGAGTGTGAAATAGCAGGGAAAAAACAATCAGAGGAGACAGAGGCACCAGTCAGGCAGATGAAAGGGGCTTTTGGACAGTTTAACATCACAGCTGCATGAAGCAGACAATCTCCCAAGAGAGGGGGAGCCCTCTGCCCTCCCCACTGCCGGCTTCAGGGCCCGGGCCAAGCTACACTCCTTCTGGGTTGCCCACCAGTATCAGGCCTGCCCTTCAGTATCAGCTCAAAGTAACTCCACTGCTTGGATCTTTCCCCTGAATCTTTCTGGACGATTGATCATCTCCTAAGATCAGTACCATGAACTCCTTGAAGACAGAAATAACACCTTTCCTCTCTGTACCTCCAGTGCCCTGCACAGTATCCTGTACACTGTCAGTGCTCAATAAATGTTTGTTGAGGGTGTCTTCTGACCTTCCCTGGCTTAGCCCCAAATGACACTGTATCATCTGTGAAGACAAAGCCTGCCTAATACCCCATACTCCACACCAAACACTTACTCCATCTGGAAGCCTATGTTCACAATTGACTTAATCTTTGGTCAAAATGAGTTTAGGGTGAATTAAGAGTGACCTGTGTCTGAGGTCTGAGGACAGAGGACACACATTCCTCAGTGACCCCTTGATAAATCCAGGATCATGGGGAAAAATCTAAGAGGGTCTGAATTCTCCATAGTTACCACTGTAAGGTAAAGTATCTGGACAAAGGATGGAAATACATCCACCATCTCTGAACCCAGGAGGCAATTCATGAAAAAGACAAAATTCACTTACTGTCACCTGAGAAGGCAGGAAATCCAGTGCCATTCTTTCCTTCTCAGTTTTCCCGTCAAGGGAGAGCAGAATGCTTGACAAGGTAGATCTGCAGAGGAAAAAAAAAGGTGTCATGAAGAACTCTGGTGTCAAGGGATGGCTTGGAAAAAGGACGTTACAGCCACCCATAATGTCTATCATGTCCTGACAAAGCCACCCACGTCAATGACGCAAACCAAGTAAAAAAGCCAATGAAGCTCTAAGACAGTTTGCCCATCTCCACCTCCTCCTTGTATTAACCATACTGCTAATTTCTATAAATGATGCTTTCACATCCGCCTGGGGTCTATTAGCTGCGTCTAAGCAGACTGACTCACCATAGGTATCTGGAGTCCTTAAGGGAATTTTAAACTACACGCTCAAACAGTCACAGCAAACATGAGATTCCTGGGCTGCCACTTTCAAACACAGCCAACTGGTCCTAAGCCCGTTTGCCCTGCCTCACCCTCTCCTTCCTGAAGAAACGACAATAAAGGTGCTTCCCCACATTCGCCCTCTCTTTCTCTGCCTAATGTCAGGCCCAGCTGCTCCCTCTGAGGGGCCCTGCCTGGAGTGCTGTGTTCTCTCTAGGGAACTGTGAGTAACCTCTAACCTGTGAACTTTCTCACCCTCTTTCTTTCTCCCTTTTTCTCTCTCTGCATCTAGCCTTACCATAGCTGTCCGAGGTAACACGGTTAAAATACTCTCTCACACACACGCACACACATGCACGACGTACGCCAGATAGGTTGCCACTCCTAATCACAAATTCCAAGAGCGCCACCTATTATAGCATCCACAGCTCCAAACACAAGCCCCAATTGGGAGAGAAGGTGGGAGGAGCAGCCAGACCAATGGCAGAGAAGAGCCTTGGCCACGGCTGCCTGCGCTGGCTGCCTGGGTTTGCAGCGGGCTCTGCGGGGACGGCGGCCGGCAGGAGGCTCAGCGCGCCGAGGGCGCTGCGTGGTCCCGGGCCGGGAGAGGGAAGCTGCCGCAGCAGTACCGTAGATGCGACGCACACCTTCTCCCTGCTAGGCGTCTTGCGTGCTTTACATATAATACTTAATCCTCACAGCGACTCTAAAGTTACTGCTTCCCCATTTCTCAGATGTGAGGGAGTCTGAGAACCGGGGAGTCTACTGACCTGCCCAGAGAAACAAAATCGGTTAGTAGTAAATTCAAAAGGGGACTCATGGTCCGAGTCCAGGGCCCCAGTTAAATGTGGCAACTTACCTGTCCAGTCTGTGTCTCACTTTCTTTCCCTGTAATAGGAGGACGTGCACAGCCGACCCCCGTTATCAGGGTGAAACGAGTTAGCTCGTCCGAGGCGCCCGGCAAGAGCCTGGCGCACCGAGGCTCTCTATGGGCGCCAGCTGTTGTGTTTATTATCTGTTTCACTTACAAGTTTCAGGGAAGACGGCCCCTTGAGACTCCCCCGCAACACACACACAGCAGTCCCAGGCACGCCCCACCTCACCTGGCAGGTGCGCTGCGTCCCCGCGCGTGTCCCGGGGACCAGCGATGTCCAGCCGCGCGCACCGGACCGCCTCCTGACGCACCGGCCCGGCCCCGC